CCCTACAACTGTTTTCCGCCGCAGAGTGGGTCGGTGGCTTATTGCCAGGAGAAGAAATTTGCACATATGTGGAGGGGGAGGGTGAAACCTGAAAAATTACTTTAATAAAATGTCACTAAAACAGCTTACGAACATCTTTTTCTTTGGCCTGAATTAGTAAGTAGAAGCATTTTGAGTTATACTGGTCTGACAATGGGACAGAGGAGAGAGAAGTGGAATTTTTGGCTTGGCAGCAAAAGTACTGTTTTCTTCATAGATAATTGCTGATCTAAGTTCAAATATAAAAGATGCATGCATTGTGATTCTGGTTAAGATTTTTTATGTCAGCCATGGCTAATGGGAATGTATGATGTGCATAAAAACTCGGGATTTTTTTGAGCCAATGTCCAGGTGTTTTTAGGAATGTACTGTTTTTTACAGTGACTGTTTTTCCCCCAAGACTTTCCCATTTGTGTAACAAAAGAGCAGTCCTGGATAATATGATAGGATTTTAGATTTCTTCTGGTCAGTTTTTTGATCTGGCAGAGCCCTGTGTGCAAGCTTTCAGAGTAACTGGCAGTTGACTCAGGCTGGTAAGTGGGCTCTCTGTTGTCCAGGGCAGCTTTATGAGGAGGGAGAGAGCCCAGGCAAGGCACAACTCTTGACACAGCACACGCTTAGTCTGAGGTTTGTGTTTTACAGCAAACCTTAAAGAAGCTTTGACCCTTACTTCGTGTGCATGCCTAGAAATCTGTATGCTTCTGGCCTTTTTCTGTTTTAATAGTTCAGGAGACAAACTTACAAATAAAGAATAACTACTAGAGGAAACAAAGAAAACAGGTAACTATAATAAACTGGTTCTGCTCCTGAAGCTAGGAACTGTTTAGGCTGGAAGGACCTCTAGAGGGCATATAGTCTTAACCCTTGCTGAAAGCACCATTGACTTACAGGTTAGATCCAGTTGCTTAGGCTTTGTCCAGGTGAGTACCTCAAAGAAGGGAGATTTCTGCAGCCTTTCTGGTCATCCATTCCCATACCTGACCCTCACTGACACCCTTGCTGTGTCTTTTTTTTCTTAAGTCAGAATTTCCATTCCTACAGCTTGTGTCTGTTGCTTCTCCTCCATTGTACACGTCTGAAAAGAGTCTGTTTGTCTTCCCTGTAGCCCCCACTGAGGCAGGGGAAGTTAGCAGTTGGGTTCCCCCCACCTTCCATGTCGTGGCTGAGCAAACGATGCGCTCTCATGCTTTGTTATTGTCCTGGGTTCACTGGGACAGGATGGTCAGCCTGGTCTGCAGGCCCTTGGCAGCCAGGAGTCAGCCAGGGCAGCTGACCCCAGCTGGCTCAAGGTGTACCCCATACCGTAAACATCACACTCTGTATACAAAGAGAGGGATGGGGGGTTGCTGAAGGAGTGTCTGCTGCTTGGGCTCCTGGCCCTGCTCCTGAGGGCTGCCTTCCTGTTCTGACCATTGTATATTTACTGGGCTGAGTATAACTTCATACTGGTGTTGGTATTAGTTTGGCCGTTTCATTGAATCCCTTTTCATTTCAACCCATGAGTGTGTTCCACTTTTCGTGATCCAGTTTTTTGGCTGGGGAGGGGTCACTGGGTGAAGTGCTGTAGTTTAGCCCTGGGTACAGGCTAAACATAGATACTCATGCATCATGTGTTCCATTCTCTCAGCATCTTAGTGTCCCCTCACTGTCCGTCTCGTACTGGGGAACCCAAAGCTGACACTACTCCAGATGTGGTCTTACATAAGCTGAGAAGAGAAGCATAAATAATCATTTCTGTTGACCTGTTGGCTACACACTTTCTAGCAGAGCCTGGCATGTGTCAGCCTTCTCTGTTGCAAGGGCATTTCATCTCTTGTCCACCTTGATTCCTGGGGCCTTTTATCCCAAGGTGCCTTCCATCCAGTGGACATTCAGCCAGCATGGGAGTTGTTCTGTTCCTGGTGCAGGGCTTCATCATGCATCCATCAGCCTGTTCCTCCAGCCATTGATACAGCTGGACTTTTGAATTCAGCTGGACTTTTGAACCGCTGACCACTAACTCTTTAAGCCTGATGGCTCACCAGCATGAACCTTCACAGATCCCATTGTGGCCACCAGACCTACTCCCATGGTAAACCACCCTTCCAGCCTGCTGGGAAAAGGGGAGGTGACTGCAGACAGGGGCTTCACTAGGGATTGCTTGAAAAACCCAGTACAGGAAACTGAAAGGAGACTCTGGGGAGCACTTTGGTAGTTACTTCAGGAGCATTAATTGGAGGAAGAAATCACATTCAAATGAAACGCTGAGAACCTGTCCAATTCAATATAACTCTATCTTAAAGGTTAAATCTAAATCCTGCCATCATCTAGATTTTTCTTCTAAATATTCCATTCACCTGTCGGAGAACCTGAGGAATTGGCAATCTTATTTACATAAATTTCATTTAAGAAAGGGTGGTTTCATAGGCTGGCATACTGAATGACAGCATAATCTCCATCTTTGAAGCTTTGATCACTGACTGAGCATTTTATTGCTTTGTATATTAGGAATATTTTCACAAAGCTAACAAGAAGTATGCTGCGACCAGTACAATCATTCTGATTTCCAAAATAGCCTGTGATAACATTGCCAATAAAAGCTCTCCTGGTGCATCACTCAGCCTGAAAGCTCTATGTATGTAACTGCAGGAGCTGCAGTAGTTCATCAGCTACCAAAATGAATCTTGCAGGGATTTTAAGCTGTTGAGAACGAGCAAAATAAACAAAAACTCTGACTTGCCACTCAGCTTTTCTCTCTGTAGCTGGGTGATGGAACTCTTGATGCAGGTGAGGTGAGACAAAGCACAGAGGCCTCACCTGATTGCCCTGAAGCAGCAATTACACGGGGCTACGCCTCACCAGGGGGCCTGGGATAAGTTTGAGGTGCAGCTGGGGCTGTGGGGAGCAGGTGGGTTGCAGGGAGCCTGGAAGCTGCTGTCGAGCAGCATGAATCTTCACGAAGGAGCAGCGAGTACTCTTTAGTAATCCAGCAGGGTTGGGTTGGGTTTGGTTTCTGCTACACTGGGAGCACTTAAAAAAGAAGTACAGAAGTGACCACAGCTGAAAGGCCATTTATTTGCAGCTGTTTCTTCTCAGTTGTAGGTAAGAAAAGGATTTATATAATACAGGGCTGAAAGTGTGAGGTACCAACTCTTTCTCTCTTCAGTGGTGATGGCTCAAAGGGTTTGCACCACTAAAGCCTCTTTTAGCAGATTTCTCTCCTTTACCTTTAAAATCCAGGTTTATCTAACCTAAAACTCTCTCTGCTCTGAGAACAGAGGGGTAAAACTTGTTTCAAGTGCAGAGTCTGCATCTGCTCTATGTTCTCAGCCTTGGGAACTACTGAAAGGCACACAGTGGAAAAACATTAAACAGCTCACTGTCTAAGAAACCTTATGTGAAAACTTTCAACCCGCGTTCCCTTCCTTTCACACTTAACTCACCTGTTTACCTTCTGTGGCTTGAAGGAAATAAGGGAGAAAAAGGAGAAGGGGGAGAAAGAAAAAGGATTTGTGAACTATCTCTGCCTAATTTGAAAATGTCTTCCTGGCATTTACAGCTCAGGTAGATGCAGTGAAAGTTTTAATGAAGCGTTAAGTTATGGAAAATTGCAACATTTAATTTGGCTTTTTTTTTTTTATTTTTCTGGACTAGGAGCTTAATTGCAGCAGCTTGCTTCCTAACACTGCTCTTCCTCAGGAGCAGTGGATTTAGGTTGTCTGAATGCTTCAAAGGCACTGATGTGGCTGGGCTTTGAAACCCTTCCCTGCTGAGGAGGTATCCCAGGAGGAAGGTGCCTTGGGCAGCTCCATGCTTGCAAGGCACCACCAGATAATTGTGGTGGGAGGGCTGCTGCCTGTCTCTCAGAATAACAAACAAGAATGGCACCATCTTCCTGTGAACTGTGCAGCAGAAGGGCAACACTTAAAATGGAGATATATGCGACAGGGTATATGAGTCACAGTGATTTTTTTAGTGTCTCTACTTGATTTTTTCTTCTCATCTTTTTATGAGGAATTAAGGAGTAGGGAAAACTGC